GTGTGTTGTCCTTTGTATTTCCTGAAGCATCAGGTGAATGGTAAAAACTTCAAAGAGCTTCTTATTACTCCTGTAAAAGAATAGTGTTATTATTTAGTTACTTATAAACTTGAGAGAACTTATGCAAATGTGAGGAAATGGCACTTGTTTTTAAACACAATGGAGAAAATGGCTGACTACAGGATTTAGATGCAAGAAAAGTAGGTTTTATGATCTAAGCCCAAAGCAGAAAAACAATATAGGCAAAGAAGAAATAGTTTATATCCTGAAAACTGAACCCTATTCACTAATAGAGAGTAACTACTAGGAACAAGGACCTCCCTTTCCCAGTTAGCCAGAACCAGTTTTCTTAAGGACCTAAGTGACAATATACTACTTTTCAACCACTTTCTCTTTAATAGACATTTAAGCTGGGTGTGGTGGCGTGCACCTTTAATCCCTGCACTCTGAGACAGAGGCAGGTAGATCTGAGTTCCAGGACAGCCTGGTCTACACTTCAAGTACTAGGATAGCTAGGGCTACATAGAGAGAGCCTATCTCACAAAGACAAAACAAGAGAAGAGGAAGAGGAGGAGAAGGCATTCAGCAATTTCATTCCAATCATAATCCTATCTTAAATGTAAAATAGGAGTTCACCTATTTTATTTTCTTCTCTGGGTATATCTGCCTCAAGAGAAATGATCAAATAACCCATTATTAAAGGAGGTAGAAGACAGGTGGTTTCCTAAAGCTCACTGGCCATGCAGCCTAGCCAATCAGTGAGCTCCAGGTACAGTGAGAGCCCCTGTCTTAAAAAAAAAAAAAAAAAAAAAAAAAAAGGAAGGAAGGAAGGAAGGAAGGAAGGAAGGAAGAAGAGGAAGATACCTAACATCAACCTTGGGCTTCCACATGTAGACACACACACATTCTTTTGCCTGTCTTGCCAAATGCATGCTTCAGTGCATTAATAAGGAATTTTTAAAAATGCTCCTTTATTATCACTTTGGTTTTTTTTTTCACCTTCATATATAAAGTATCAGTGTGCAGTGATTTGGTCAGATATTATCACTTGATGAATAAACTTGTTCTTAGTGGAAGAGCATTTGCCTGTCATGCAGTTATCCCTGGGTTCCCAGTACCATAAAAACCAAAGCTAACCCCCAATATATAAAAAATTAAGTCCCCTCTAGATATCTCAAATAAAACTTTTGCATGCTATCTCTGGTATTTAGTTTTCTTAGATGAACTGGAACAATTAAGAAACAACTATACATTCAAAGATTAATAGTCTATTATAAAATCTGTGTGTTTTTAAAGTGTGTGTGTGTGTCTGTCTGTCTGTCTGTCTGTGTGTCTTGTATGGAATGGGCATGTGGGTATGTGCAGGAAGGTCTGGAGGATGTCTGGCATCCTATCTATCATTCTCTGATTTCTTCCTTTGAAACAGGGTCTCTTACTGAACTTGGAGTTATGCTGGTGGCCCCAAGCCCAAGTGATCCTCCGGCCTCCATCCTCCACATTGCCGGGCTCACAGGCGCACACAGCCACAGTCAGCTTTTTATGTGATTCCTGGGGATTTAACTCAGGTCCTCACACTTATGCAGTAACGAAACTTCCCTGCCGAGTATCTGCCCAGCCCCAATATGTCATCTCTGATAATCATCAATACTCAGGATTCTTAAATTTCTATATCTACAGCCTGGAATAATAAATTAGAGCAACATAACAATCAAGTTGAACTGATTTGACATGGAGATTGAAAAGCAGCCCTAACAGCAATCACAATACAATCATCAATGAACAGCGAGACAAAAAGACATCCTTACTTGATTTTTGAGAGCTTCTGTAGGATAATACTGAGCTTTTCTAGGATGTGAAGGTCAAGTTTAGGGGTCCGGAGCAGCACAGAACAAGTCCGGAAAAACAAAGAGTTGCTGCAGGCTTCCAGGAAAGGCTGCAAGGACGCTGCAAAACAAGGCCCCACACTTTACTGTTAAGAAGTATCAAAGGAAATTAAAAAAGCAAAACCAGAACTAGGTGAGTCATGTAGCAATACCAACTTGGCCTCTCAATCTTTCATCCTTAAGCTTTGGGGCAAAATCGTCATGTGGAAAGTGAAAATATCCACTGGCTCTTGCTGGGTGGCAGGTTATTATCTAACACAAAGTACATTTGAAAGAAGAGAGGAAAGTGTTTCTTCAAAAAGCTTCTAACTGGAAGCCCAGTCTAGGTGACTGCAAATAAGAAGTTCCACTGAAGCAGTACATTAGTTTTCTTTAAAACCCCAGTAACAACTCTGAGTACTAGATAAGAAAGAACACTTTGCGCATAAAAGCTAAAGAATGGCAGGTTCATAATAGATGGAAAACTTAAGGATAAAAATTTTAAGGTATCATCGTGGAAAAGCAGTCAGAAAGATTGTAAGAACAGAGGATCAAGGAGTTTGCTGTGAGACTGTGTGTCCCAGGATGTCAGAAGCTGAAGTCTCATCAACATGACTGCCTCAACATGAGCTGAACAAGGACAACAACATACATGCTCACGTGGAAGGGGGCGAGGCCATGAGCTTCAACCGTACACAAAGAACCACAGGCAACTAAGAATGCTGAGTGTGGGAGAAGTTGTCTTTTCCAGGGAAGAGCCCCCATCAACTGGTTATTCAATATCAAATGGTCAGCCCTGAAAACATATGTGTACATTTAACATTAAACAGACTGAATAGGTCGAATTCATGTATTTAGATGTGTATTTGTGTGTGTGTTTATTTACATACATATTTAATGAAAAACAGGCATTGAATTTGAAAGGGAACAAGGAAGGGTACATGGGAGGGTTGGGAAGGAGGTAAAGGGAAGGAGGCATGATGTAATTATAATTCCAAAAATAAAGTGAATTTTTTTTTAAATTGAAGTGTTCACATAAAGTGATTTTTATTTGAAAAATTAAAAGTGGAATTGAAAAAATTAAAGTAATCAAAAGAGAAATTACCAACGTAGAAGAGGAAAGGAAAGATGACTTTGCATATATTTGCCTTAAGACTGACACCATTACTAGGAGTTCTTATAAATCAACTAGGAAAGGTGTACCTAGTATTTTTACTAATAAACACAACTAACCCCAATTATACGAGAACATACTATATTCAATCTCATTAAGAATGAAATAATAGAAATTTCCCAAATTTGTTACCAAAAGCCTTAAATGCACATATCCTTTCACCTAGTAACTGTGCCTCTAAGAACCATCCAACAGAGAGGCATACAAAGGTAAGAAGCCATATTTCATTGATTGTGTTTATTATAGGATAATACATGAAAATTCTTTTAGAGCATAAGTTACTGGCTAGTTAGGAAAGATTGAGGGAAAAAAATCATACAATGTCAAATTGTGGCCTCTAAAACAATTCACTCTTTAGTAAAAAGCCTCTGCAAATGGCTTTTTTTTTCTAAATGCAAGTAAGTTATTTCCCATAAAAGATATAAAACCATGATAGCTTTGCATTCTCGTGCTTTTTAAATCTATAAACACAACTTGGAAGGCTTGGATGTTACTATCTTGAGACTGTATTGATTAAAGTAAACTACTGAAGCAACCAAATCTAAAACCGCAAGTAAAGCCAGGGAAGCAGAAACGGGCTGGTAGAAAAAGGAAAGGCTCTCTGGGAGCAATGGAGGACTATTTTCTCTACATGGAAACACCCCCTCTGCGGGAGGCGAAGGGCTCAAGAGCCACCTCCCTAACACCGCCCCTCATGGAGCTGCTTGCAAGTGGTGTATTGAGCTCCACGGATGCAACCGTTTTGCGTCCCCATCACCTGTGCTGGGACAGGCTTTCTGGTTATTGGGCCATCCTTACTTCTGTATTTCTTGACCAACCACTTTCTAATGGGATTTAAGTTCCATTCCACAAAATGAAAGTCACACCTGTCATCACTATCAGGCTAAGAACCTATGGCTAAACAGGACACAGGATCTAGGGAAGACCCTACTACTATTATTCTGCTAAATAGACATAGTATTCAACTGATTCCTAACAATTTATCATAAGCTTTTATTTGTACTAGACTATGGTTAACCCAGAGACCCACAACTGGCCAAGGCATAGAAAGTAAGAGGCTGCAGAACGCTCAGCCCTAAATAGAACCCGTATACTGCACCCCTGCTCCAAAGGCTCGGGGATGGATCACTGAGGCAGAGGAGAAGGAAACAGCTAAGTGCCAGAGGCAGTGGATGACTCTAAGGAAATGGTATCCTCTGGACACAGCAGGGAAGCAGCTGCACATATTAACTCACAACATTTGTGACAGCATACACAGCCCCGTACAAGCCCAACCCAGACCAAAGCTCAGCATGGAGAGGGGAGTTGGGTAGAGAATCCTACCCCTAGCCATGGAGCTATTAGCAACCGTTAGCTGCCGAGTCCGTTCCCTCTGGGAATGTAAGCTCTGGTAAGTCAAGCACGTTCCAGGGGAAGACCACACGTTCAAGAACAGTTGGGCAGCACCAATTGGACTTGACGGGAGAAAAAGAAAACAAAGTGGGGTGGACAGGAAAGACAGGGTAGATCTGAGACGAGCTGGGTGAAGGCAGTGAAGATGATCAAAGCACAAAACACATTGTACAAATTCTCAAAAAACTAGTAAAAATAAGAAAAATAAAAGCTGAAACTTCTAGATTAAAAACAGAGGGAATATTCTTCAAGATGCTGAGGTGGGCAAGAACTTTCTGGACAGAACTTCAATAGCACAAAAGCTAGCTGCAAACATCAACAGATGGGACTACATGACAGTAAAGTCTCTGCTTATCAGAGGAAATTGTCAGCAGAGCTCACAGACAGCCCACGGAAGGGGAGAAAATCTTTCCCACATACACCTCAGACAAGGGGCGAATAACCAGAATTTACAAAGAACTGTAGAAATTAGATACCTAGGAAATAAAACTGCAAATCAACAAATGGGGTAATGAATTACAGCAAGTGACACACACACACACACACACACACACACACACACACACACACACACACGAATGGCCAGTAACCATTAAAATATGTTCACCATTCCTAGTCATCAGGTAAATGCTTTGAGATAATATCCCATCCCAGTCAGAGTGGCTGTCCTCACGAAATCTGACAACAAATATTAAAGAGGATGAGGAGAAAGAAAAACTCTTATTCACCACTGGCAGGAGTGCAAGTTAATACAACCCTGATGGAACTCAGCCTGGTGGCTCCTCAGCAAACTGGAAACAGCCCTATCCTATGCTACAGCTATTGTATTCTTGGGCATTTACACAGAGAACTCTTTATCCTATGGTAGAGGTATCTGCACTCCATGTTCACTGCTGCTCTACTCAATACAGCAAGGAAGTGGAGACAACTTAGTGTCCTTCAAGAAGTGAATGGACTATAATAAAAACCTGGCACGCGCGTGCACGCGCGCACACAAACACACACACACACACATTATTCAGCTCTAAAGAAAAACAAAATCACAAAATTTTCAGGAAAATGGATTGATTTATAACACATAATATTAATCAAGTTCATCCAAATTCGGGAAGAAAAATCAGTCAATAAAACAAACACATGTTCTCCCTATATTGTGGATGCCAGCCCATCGTATGTACATAAAAACAAATATACATGTGGGTATAACATTTAGAAAGGGGAACAAGAATAATAAAGAAAATGCTTGGGGCTGGAGAGATGGCTCAGAGGTTAAGAGCACTGACTGCTCTTCCAGAGGTCCTGAGTTCAATTCCCAGCACCCACATGGTGGCTCACAACCATCTGTAATGAGATCTGGTGCCCTCTTCTGGCCTGCAGTCATACATGCTGTATACATAATGAATAAATAAATATTTAAAAAAAAAAGAAAAGAAAATGCTCACTAATGAGTTCACATATTTATTATATGCAAGTAAGTCCACTGAATGTTCTCTCGAAGCATAACACATTCTCAGTATAAAATATATCCTTCAGTGGGCAGTGGCCATTTTGTGATTCCATGGGAGGCTGTCACTTGACTGTAAGATATGAGTTTTAAATTATATTTTTTATTGTCTGAATATTCCTGTAGGATCCAGTTCTTTGTAAATACTGCTTCACTTGTGTATTTTATTCTTTTTTTAAATATTTATTTATTATGTATACAACATTCTGCCTCCATGTATCCTTGCATGCCAGAAGAGGGTACCAGATCTCATTACAGATGGCTGTGAGCCACCATGTGGGTGCTGGGAATTGAACTCAGGACCTCTGGAAGAGTAGTCAATGCTCTTAATCTCTGAGCCATCTCTCCAGCCCGTGTGTATTTTATTCTTTAAATATGAATTTTAGCTATCCAATTAACAGAGTGAAGTAGGATGTGTAAAGTCATCATAATTTGGAAATTTCTGAGAATTCCTGAGATACTGATTTATTGTCCCTGGATCTCAAAGAGCAACATGCCAGGAATTTGAAAACCCTGAGAAACTTGTGCAGCTACTGTGGAAGTCAGTATGGAAATCCCCCCAAAACCTGAAAATAGAACCACCCTATCACCCATCTGCAGTACTAAGTCAACACAGCACAGATGTTTGTGCCTCCGTGTTTAGAGCTGTACTATTCACCATGGCCAGGAAATGGAAGCAGCCCTTGATGTCCATCAACAAATGAGTTAATAAAGAAAATGTGGTCCACAGGCTGGATGTCCCAGAGACCTAGGATAGAACCAAACAGGACTGGAGGAAATAAAATGTCAGTGTGATGATGCCTAACGATATCCTGCTACACACATAGGTGCCTAGTCCAACTGTCATCAGAGAGGCTCCACCCTGCCACTGGTGGAAACAGCACAGCCAAACATTAGGCGGGGCTTGGGGAATCCTGCAGAAGTGGGAGAGAAAGGATGGTAGGAGCCAACGGAGACAAGAAAACTAACAGAATAACTAACCTAGGCTCACAGGGGCTCACAGAGCCTGAACCGACAACCAGGGAGCCTGCATGGGACTGCCCTAGACCCTCTGTGACAGTTGTGTAGCTTGGTCCCTCCTGTGGGACTGGCAGCATGGGCTGTCTCTGACTCTTTTACTGGCTCTTGGGACCCTTTCCTCACCCTGGTCTCCGTGCCCAGCCTTAATACATGGGAAGGTGCTTAGTCTTACTGCATCTTGATATGCCATGTTCTGTTGATGCTCATGGGAGACCTGCCCTTTCCTAAACAGAATCTGAGGAGTGGATTGGGGGGTGGGAGCAGAGGGCAGTGGGGGGAGGGACTTTGTGGAGAGGAAGGAGGGGAAACTGCGATCAGGATGTAAAACAAATAAATTAATTAAAAAGAAAAAGAAGGGCTGAAGAAATGGCTCAGAGGTTAAGAGCACTGACTGCTCTTCCAGAGGTCCTGAGTTCAATTCCCAGCAATCACATGGTGGCTCACAACCATCTGTAATGAGAGATTTGATGCCCTCTTCTGGCATACGGCAAACTTGCAGAAAGAACACTGTTTACATAATAAATAAAATAAATCTTTAAAAAAAAAAAAAAAGAAAAAGAAAATACCAGCCTAAAGCCTATTTGTCTGTTTAAAAAGGAAAAAAAGAAAATATGGCACATATGTGCGCGTGTGCACACGCTCACACACACACACACACACACACACACACACACACACAGGAATTTTACATAAAGAAAAACAAAATCCTGACATTTTCAGAAAATAGATGCAAATGGAATTATGTGAAATAAGCCAGACTCAGAGACAAATATCACATTATTTCTTATACAAGGAACTTAAATTTTAGATTATATACATATGTATGTAGCTATATCCCCATGTCTTATTTGCAGGATACTTAACTAGAGAAGGGATCTAAGAGGGGAGGAAGAGCTCTTAAGGGATGTGGGAAATGGGAAAGACAACAGCAGACATGTGATAGGAGGGTACAAACGAGGACTAACTGGAGGAACACAGGAGCCAGCTGGAGGAAGAGGCAGAGGGGGCCGTGGGGAGCGGGGGAGCATACAACAACAAAATATAACACATTTATATCAAGATGCCACAACGAAACCTCTTGTTCTGTGTGCTGACCTAACTGATAACTTTTCAAAATAGCCACCATTTAAAAGCTGAAATAGTGGCTGGTATGTGGAGTTAATAAGGGATTAGGAGGGAATGAAAGCATCATTTCTTTACGTACATAAAACATAAAAACGTACGTGATTCTACTGTCATCTGAAGCAGACTATCAATGACATTGGATAAGAGCCCTTTGCTGGAAATCCTCAGGTGTCTTAGTATTACTGGAACAGCTTGGTACTCCAAAAATAAGGCTTTTCCTTCATCTGTCTTCAAGTCCAAACAAAGGGAATCAAATGCTTGAGCTAGGTAGTCAGCTGAAAACAACACAAATAACCATCTCTGCATCAGTTATTAAATCAGAAACATAAGATTAAACAAAAAGAACCACCGCTTTAATAAAATAAAACTGTAAAAAAAATTTAGATGACAAGAGATCACAAACTAAATTTAGATTCATCCCCCTCACTGGTTTATTAGAACTCAATAGGGAAGGAGAGAGAAAAGGCAGTCCAATTATAATGGGGTAAATTCATTTAGTGCGTTCATATTTTAGTACTAAAATGATCAGCCCCATTTTGTTTTTTATACCAAGAAATAAAATTGATGATTAATATTAAATAGCACAGTAGTATGTATTTCCATATTTGGTTGTAATTACTACATGTTTCCACAAACTTGAACAGCACCATATTTATATCTTTGAATAGCTTCTAAGACGGTATGTCTCATTGCTGACTTCTAAATGCCTCCCCATTTAAAACTGTAACTATACATAAAATTGCTCAATGCATTTTAAAGAAGGATTTCTGTCTCCCACAAAAGAGCAAATATCACACCATTCAAAGACAACTTCAAAAAGACTGGGCTATGCTCTGATCCACTACATTCTGTAACCCACCCATTATTATGAGCAACAGCAAGATTTTACCAAGACCAGAGCTAGCAAGGCACTTTGAGATCAGATTCCTTAAACCCCCCTTTAAAATATTCTGCATGTGACTGCAGGTGAGCTACTCAATCAAGAGAAGCACTAATTTAATTAGAATCAATGCAAATCAAATATCAGAGATTAATTCAGCAGATATCCCCATTACAACATTTACAATAGTTTCACACTGCTTTTAAATATGTAAAGTTCATTTTCCAAAACGTTCCTTCAGTATATGATTCCAAGAAAAAAAAACATGCTGTTCACCGAACACTGAGTTACTCTGTTTAAAAAATTAATATTTCTATTTAAAGGAGAAGACTTAGCAGAGTGTCTTGGGCCCAATGTGGTGGCATAAGCCTTTCCATAAAGCACACAGAGGCAGGCAGAATCATTGTGAGTTCCAGGCCAGCCGGGGCTACATAGCCAGACCCTGTCTTTAAATAAAAAGGGTGTCTTGGCCCCAAACTCGTAAGTTACTAAATGGAATTCCTAGTGGTGCCAGGTGTGAGACACCTCCCTGTGAACTGTTGGCTGGGGGAGGGAAGGGGATGGAGATGACCAGTGCAGGCTAATGTCATTGCTCAGAACTATATGATAAAGCCCCATGGCTGAGGACATCGCACCTTTTCCTTGCAGAACATGGAGAACTCAAGCTGGCCCTAAGCTGCTTCTTGCTGCCTTTCTCAGCACTGGACGGTATCACTCAGGCTGCTGGAGGGAAGACGTCAGTATAACAGTCTTATGCAGCTGTGAAACTTACAAGCTACAATACCAACCTGCTGGGCAAGCTGTGCCCACTGGGTAATAGTGGCATGACTGTTTGCTCTTGGGAAGAATTCAGTTCCCAGCTCCCATGTTGGGTGGCTCACAACCCCCCGCAACTCCAGTGCCACGGGATCCGACACCTCTGGCTCTCACATGCATACACCCTCACATAGACACACACACACAAAATAAAAATAATGAAAGTAGCTGGGCGGTGGTAGCGCACACCTTTAATCCCAGCACTCAGGAGGTAGAAGCAGGTGGATCTCTGAGTTCAAGGCCAACCTGGTCTACAGAGTGAGTTTCAGGACAGGATAGCCAGGACTATACAAAGAAATCCTGTCTCAAAAAAACCTAATAATAATAATAATAGTAATAATAATAATAAATCTTTAAAAATATGTATGAAAGAACTTTAAGACATTCTAATCTGTATCCATTTATGGTAAATTATTTTTATTTATAGAAGAGTTTAGTTCAAAGAACACTAATACCACTTTACTTAAAAACAAACAAACAACAAAAAAAACCCCTCTGCAAACAAATACATATTGAGCAAAATTACTAGGTTCTGTTCAGATGTGTCTGGCTCTCAACTTCATTTGTGAGCGTGTTTGCCTGTTGCTGTGGGTGTGGAGGACAGACACTGACGTTAGTTAGGTGTCTTTCCTTCCTTATTTTTAAAATTAAAATATAATTCCAACATTTTCCCTTTCTCGTTGCTCCCTCCACCACCCCCTCCTATGTATGACCTTGCTCTCACATCCAGGGCCTCTGGCTTCTTTTTCTTAACCTGTTTTGAGCGTGGGTCTCTCACCGAACTCGAATCTCAACATATTGGCTAGAGGCTGGCCAGTGAGCTGTCTCCAGCCCTCGGTGTGGGGTTAGGGGTGAGCACTGCCATGCTCGGCTTTCATACGGATGTTAGAAATCTAAACTCAGGTCCTTATGCTTGCCCAGCAGACACTTTAAGCCACCAAGTCATCTCCCTGGCCCAAACTTTTTAAAAAGCAACAATACAGACAGAATAGACAAATCCCGACCTCGTCAAGGGAACATGTTTTCCAACAGTGCCCCCTGCTGGATTTGAAAGTACTTGCAACAGCTAACATGACTAAGTGGACTGAGCTACAGGGTTGTTTGTTGATAAAGGGTCTTACTGTACAGCCTTCCTGGTGGTCTGCAACATCACGTGCAGATCAAGCTAGCCTTAACTCTGCCTTAGTTCTCTTGACATGGCTTCCTGAGTGCTAATTACACTTGTCCATCACTGCATCCAGCTTCGTGGTACTTTTTAAAAAATTTTTAATTTCTCTCTCTCTCTCTCTCTCTCTCTCTCTCTCTCTCTCTCTCTCTCTCACTGGTCTTTTGCTTGTATATTACGGTTTCCTATTTTCTGTTTTTATGGGTTTTTCGTGTGTGTGTGTGTGTGTGTGTGTGTGTGTGTGTGTATAGTATATGAAATATAGTATATGAAAAAAACTGTTTTCAATTTTTAAAAATGGAGGGAAAGAGTTATCCCTTAACAGTATCCATAGGCAGAAAAACAGCATTTGGTTATTTTTTAAGTGGTCTTATCTTTTTAAGAAACATTTATTTTATTTGTATTTACACATGTATATGTGGGGAGTGGGGGGACTATGCACAAGTGTGGGTGCCTGCAGAGACCAGAAAGGGTGTGGGACCTTCTGGAACTCGAGTTACAGGTGCTCCTAGCTGCTCAACATCGGTGCTGGGAGCCAAACTCTGGTCCTCTGCTAGAGGAGCAAGCACTCTGAACCACTGAGCGAGTCCCCAGACTGGCCTTGACCTTTTAGAGATTAAATCAAATTGTATCATTTTAACTTCTTTAATACTGAAGAGTCTCTAAAAACAAGACTAATTTAACTTCCCAGAGAATGCTTTTCAAACATTTCAGTTACCAATCATATCAAAACTAGCTAGAGCTAGAGCTGGCTTATTGGTTTATAGCACTTATTGCTCTTGCAGAGAACCTGAATTCAATTTCCAGCACCCATGTCAAGGGCTCACAACCAGCTCTAACTCCAGTTCCAGGGGCTCCAATGCCCTCTTCTGACCTCCATAGGCACTAGGCATGTACCTGGTACACATATGTGCATGCAAGCACAGCATTCATACATCCAATAAAAGCAAATCTTTTTAAAAACCACAAAAGATAAAGAATTGATGTCATTTTAAAACAGTAAGATAAAGAGAAATCATCTAGCATAAAGTAGATCAAGGATATCAACAGAAAATCTGAAAAAGGGAAACAGCAAATCACACACACAAGAAAAAGTTAAGCTGGGAGTAATGCCACACACTGTTAAGTCCCAGCACTCCACAAGCAGAGGCAAGAAAATGTCTGTGAGTTCCAGGCTAGCCTGGTCTACTACAGAGCAAGTTCCAGTCTACCTAAGGCTACATAATGAGACCCCATCTCAAAAATAAAACAAAACAAAAACATTATATGAAGTCATATTTTCATTAAATAAGACTGGGAAATATTTTTTAAAAATCATTAACACCAAATATCGGAATGGATGGTTCAAAAAATGGCAGTGAACACACACACACACACACACACACACACACACACACACACACACACACAAAGAACTGGAAGGATATAATAGCTTCACTCTTTTGAGAAAGACAGCAATGTCTGCTGAAGTTAGAATGACTTATCCTTTCATATATCGGTGTCATGTTGGTGAGTTTATTGCTCATTTTAAAAGTGCTAAGGCATAAGTATATGTTAATATTCACAGTGACAAAAATAGGAAATGAGTGAAACATCCCATTGGTAGTGTGATTAGGTGATAACTAGCTAAAAACTTCAAAAAGCTAAATAGAGTATTTTAAAAATAACAGATTTGGTGTATATGTACGAACCTGGAAGTTAAATAGAATAAATCTGTGAGTAAAAGATAAACAAATTCCAGCATGGATGAGCGAGGGCGGGTTACATAATCCCACATCTGTGTGAGGAACCACTGGCCACTGAAGGAGAGATGTGGCCCCAGAGACTACTCATGTTCCAGTAGATGGCGCTACACCCACGCACACACAGGCAGTATGTGGACTGGGTGAGTTTAAAAAAAGAATTCGTGACATTGGGAGGGAGGAGTGGAGAAGTATAGGGGAAATTTGGAACTGAGGGAATAGGGGATAGATTTGATGAAAGTACATTATGTGGGTGTATCGGGGAGGATAAGGACTACTGACAGCTGGTAACTGCTGGGGGAGGAAGAGTCACTTTTCTTTGAGGAGCGGTCACTGGTAGGTCGCCATGCCTCAGTGGATATGTATGTGTGTATGTATGTATGTGTGTGTGTGTGTGTGTGTGTGTGTGTGTGTGTGTGTGTGTCTCAGCTTTTAGACACTTTATTTTCCTCCACTCCTCTCTTTGTTCACATGTCTGCAGAACAGCTCATGACCATTCAGGAGCCTGTACAGTGTGAGCTGCAGACCAGTCCTCAGTGGACAGCTGGGCACTCCTTCTTCAGTAGAGATCTGCTGGACAGGCGCAGAGGGCATCTGCACACCTTCAGGCCAGCCTGACATCTCTGGCTGAGCAGCAGTGAACTTAGGAGCTGGCACAGTCCATTCACCCCC